AGGTGAGAGTGACGCTGCTGGAGAGGGAGGGCACTCCCTCATCAGAGCAGGTCACACTGATGTTATACTCAGAGGCTCTCTCTCTGTCTAAATCACTGTCTGTTATTAAACTATAAAAATTACTGGTTGTGGATTTCATCACAAAAGGAATATTATCATTTATAATGCACTGCACTTTACCGTTTTCATCCGAGTCTGCGTCCTGTATATTTATCATTGTTACAACGGTGCCGGGTTTTGCGTCTTCTGATATCACATTTGATTTAGACATTATATGAATATCAGGTTTGTTGTCATTCATATCAATGACGTCAATCATCACTTTACATGAATCAACTAGTCCTCCATCATCACTTGCACGAATGTTTATCTGAAATATTCGAGCTTTTTCATAGTCAACATTTCCTTTTAGCCGAATTTCACCATTTTCATCGTTTACTTCAAATAATCCACGCGCATTATCCAATATACTGGAAATTGAATAAGTTATTTTGCCATTAGATCCATCGTCTGCATCTGTTGCAGTAACTGTCAGTACAATGGTACCTACTTGTGCGTTTTCTTTAATAGAAGCTTTATAAACGGGCTGTGTAAAAACAGGAGCATTGTCATTAGCGTCTAATACAGTGATCAGAATCTGCATTGTTCCTGTCATCTGCGGCTCTCCTCCATCCACCGCCGTCAGGACCAAAGACAGCTGTTCATGCTTTTCTCTGTCTAGAGGCTTCTCTAAGACCATTTCGACGTTTTTCGTCCCGTCCGCTTGATCATGTAATTTCACAACAAAATTCTCTTTCGGTTCAAGTTTATATGTTTGTAATCCATTTAAGCCTACATCAGGATCAACGGCTCGATCTAGTATGAATTTAGCTCCGCTAACAGCGGATTCACTAATTTTAAATCTGACGTGGTTCTTTTCAAAGGATGGGGGGTTATCATTAACATCTGTGATCTCCACAGTCACACTGTAAAATTCCATCGGATTTTCTAATATAATTTGAAAATGCAAGGCACACGGCGTCGTTTGTCCACAGAGCGCCTCTCTGTCGATCCTGTTTTTGATGAGGAGGACTCCTCTGTCATTATTCAGCTCAATATACTCGTCATTGTCTCGAGTAAAAATGCGAGCTTTCCCCGATTTTAGTCTTTTAACATCCAAGCCAAAATCCTTTGCCATATTCCCAACAAGAGAACCTTTTGACATTTCCTCAGGAATGGAGTAACTGACCTGCCCGAGCACCGAGCTGAGAGAGAAGACCGAGAAAAACAACAGTACTTGCCCTGTCATTGTTCTGTTCGACGTTATATCACTGTGAACCGCGTAAGGCTTCTGTACAATTGGTCTTCTGAATTTAAAGATGAAGGCGGATTTTAAAGTATATTCCAAACATGAAAAAGGATTCGATTTCCTCGATGTCCTATGAAACCCAGACGGCGCGATTCGTTTCTTTCTCTTTCTCGCTCTAAAATAAAGACATGATGGGAGGTACAAAGAGTCTGCGGTAAATCTGATTCAGACTGGCCAACAGCGGCACTCTGAGTAAAGGAAGTACAACTGCATCTGAACAGTTTAAAATGAACTGACATGCACAGATTAGAAATAAAAGGAACACACTTTACCTGTGAGTGTGCAGTTTTGCGTGATGCTACAGTTGACAAATATAATAATGTCTAAATAATCAACATGATGTGCAAATTTCTGAAATAAATATTAGAAGAAAATACAAGTCATTTTAAGAAGCAAGATGAAAACGATGGTCTTGATCGTGCTAGCATGTCGCTATCCGAGGTGCTGAAAATAAGAGGGAAGTTGATTGACACAAACTGTTAAAACAACGCCAAACAATCCTAACCTCTAGAGGAGAGTCTGGTTCATCCAGGATGCTCTTCTCACTCTGCATCCGCTGCATCGT